ATTGAAACCTGGAAGATGAGTGATTCTGCTTGCATCCAACGAATTACTGTAACAAGGAAATAAACAGAAATTGGAGAAGAAGACTAATAGTATTTGCAGGAGGATGAAGTTAATAGACATGGTTGAATGAGAAGCAGAGCCGAAATAAGAGAGAAAAAACAGGCCCCGTCACTACAAAAATGGTTAGAGAGAGAAGTTTACGATTAAAAAAAGGGAGAGAAGTTTATGATTAAAAAAAAAAAAGGAGAAATATAGTCAAATTTTTCATTCGGATGAATACACATATAGAAACAACCACACCTTCTTCGGCTCAATTTTTTAAGAATTTTTTTTTTTATTTTTTTTCCGAAGAGTAGATTTCACAAAAAAAAAATATGTTAAGAAAAAAAAAAAGGTTTTTACGTCAACTGCAACTCATTAATAAGCTGTTCTGCATTAGTTGTGACAGTAAATCGCTGAATAGAAGCTGTTGTGGATAAGCTCTTTATTTAATTATTTTTTACATTTTAAAAATAATTCCTTCTGAATAAATTATGATAAAATAATTACATCATTATAATTTTACTTTTATGTGATGCAACGACTTCTTTCATTCTTATAAATACATACTTAATAAGTATGCAAAAATATATCTTGAAATGGATAAAAAGTTATAATTAGAGTACTACTTATAAATGTAAAAAAAAGAGTAGGTTTAAAAATAAAAAAATCTCAGAAATATAAATACGTTTTTAAAATAATACTAAAATATTTATTTTGTTGGAACTCTAAATTAATTAAAAAATATACCAGAGGGCCCTAAACCCTAAATCCTAAACCCTAAACCCTAAACAAAACAAAGTTCTTTAAGAAAATTAGGAGGGAACACTTGCTTGGGCGATAACAGATTTATATACATATATTTAAAAAGATGTGTATATCAATGGTGCAATAAAATAATAATAATTTTTGTGCATCACATGATTCACGAGCGGAATGTAATTTTCGCATCCTAGCTTTATTCGAGCATCCATAAGACGCCGATAGTTTGAAATTAACGGGAAGTGCCGTTAGAAACTCTTACGTAAGAGAAAAAATTGTAGGAACTAACCCATATAAAATATTCTACTATAGATGTACAATTCCAAAGAGTACCCAGTTTTCTCACAACCCAAAAAATGTAGTTATAATTTTATATCAAATACAACATTTGTCTATATACAATGCATACAAAATTTCAAGAGTATTTGAATATTCAATAAAATATTATTGATTATATCGTTTTCGAGATACATAGCTATACCGTATTCAAAGTCCTTTGTAACATCATATTCAGGATACATCGTTGCACTATATTTAGGACAATTTTAATTAATTTATTTATCTTAATTATTTTATATATCAAATTTAAGAGATTAATTTATTTATCTTAAATAATATATTTCAAATTCAATAAAAAATTTTGTACATCTAGTTATGCTTATAAGTTTAAAACAAACTTTTTTAAAAAATAAATATTAAAAAAAAATTAAATCTTTTTTTCGCATCAATTTAGAAAAAAAGAGATTATAAAAAAATTGAATTATTTTCTAAATATAAAATTATTGACATAAATTATATTCATAAGTTTTACTTAAACCAATTTATGTTTCCTTGGTTCCTTTGTCTTTTCCTATCGCTTTAATGCTTAGCTAACCATTTCGATGATTGAGTGTTGTGCAGGATGGTCCCTTTATTTCTGCTCTGGTTGCAATTGATGCATTCCGCAATAACTGCCTCCTCTTATAAAACTAACTAAAAATCCAACCAAATTAACTCTCAATATATGACAAATCAACATGATATTCTTCTCCTACAACTTGAAAAACATAGAAATATACAGTGAAGGCAGGGAAAATACAATAAAATTTGATTCATACATAAATTTTCTATTATTAATCAACAAAAAAAGATCATATCTCCTCCCCAAAATAAGTGAAATGATTCACTGAAATCAGAGACTCTGGTGAGAAATCCATCTTTCAAACATAACAAAACATTCAAATGGCATTATATCTGGTGCTATATGACCTCCCCCCTGCAACCAGTTCACAAACACCAATAGAATAATTACTGTCAAAACAACATAACATCCGTCATATTATAAATCAAACATAAAAAAAATTCATACCTTCACAGTTGCAAAAGTTAAATTGTTTGAGAACAAAATGGTGTATCTGCAAATTCAAAATCATGAAAAAAAAAAGCTTCAGACTTTTGAGTAAAAGAAGAATCTTCTTTAAAAAATCACAAATTTACAGTCTCCTCACCCTGCAACTTGCCCGCCAGCATGCCACGATCGCCGTGGCTCCAAGACGAAAAAATTGAGAGATTTTACCCACTCTAACGTGCCCAAGATTGGAATCTTCAGATCATGATCACCACTGTTTGTACCACAATATAATGAAAATAAAACTTAAATCCCCAAGCAAATAAGCATCTTTCTTCTTTCTAGCATTTACAGAAAAGAAGGCTGGAAATTTACCTGTAAACTAGAGCTCGAAATCCTCGAGTAATGAAACTATAGTGATAAGGTACAGTGCTTGGGACACTTCGTGTGTAATAATACGAATTCACATTGAAATCACAGCGGTGAAATCGTTCAGTTGTTCCCTTGAAATATATATATTATCACACAATTTCAAACATCTGAATTCATCACAGTGACGAAAACTAATTCATTTATAAGTACCTCCTTGACATGGAGGGCCTCTTTCACAAGATGGTGATTCCCCCAGTAATTGGCAAGAAGAGCAGCGGTCTGAATATATTACCATTTCAGATTAGTTTTTGTTAATCTTTTAAGAAGTTTAGCAGCTATATTTGTAGCACACAGAAATGAAGGGAATGTGCAGAGCTCAACTATACAAGAAATATCAGGAACTGATGACAACGGTGAGCTGATGAACTCTTCTTGATTCTCCTTCAAAGACCTCATAGCTGACGTTGGAGGTTCATCA